GAATAACCTTACTCTAGTTTTTTGAATCATAACATGGGTCTATTAGAAAAGGACAGCACCTCCTCTAGAAATATTTGAGTGATTTTTAACTTCTGAGAAGTAAGCCACGAGTTTTGCATTTACATTTAAAGCAAGTAAGAAAGATAGAAGGCAAATTTTAATTCCTCATTTTTCTCTTAACTAGTACACTTTAAAAATATTTATGCAATGATTAAAACATATAAGAAAAATGTTTGGCTCAAAACTAAGATTCGTCTTTGTATAGCAAAGTAAATATTTTGTGAAACTTACTTTTTAAAACATTTTTCATAAGATCACAATAATCAAGTGATTATTGTCATCAGCTCATGAAATGCATGACAGAATAGCGACTGGCTAAAATGAAACTTACAGGTGTCTTAAGATTAAACAAGATTTATACCGTACTTATAAATACAGTAGGTACATTGCAATATGTATTTACAAAGCAATAAGCACTAGAAATGCATCTGACACCAGTTCAAAGAGTAAAACACATTCATTTTCAATTACTTATTTCATTATTCATTTAATATAAGGGTTTGAGTCTCCATTATGTGCAAGAAGCTATACTTGACACTAGGAATGGAGTCTGGGAACAACATAGACTATATCTTATGCTTTTCCAGTTTCTACTCTGGAGATATGAATAAGCATATAAAGTAAATACATAAATCTAAGTGAATAAATAAGTCTAAATATTTGCTAAATCAATTGGAAAAATAAAACAGGGATAGATAGTGCTAAATTGTAGCAGAGGGGTACCTGTTATTGTGTGGGTAAGGTGAACTTTGAATAAAGTATATACCTTTGCCTGTGAGATTATTGAAACTGAAAAACAAAGATGATATTAAATGAACAATTAATCAAGGCTTCGGTTACTGATTACGTTTTTCCCAAAACCATTTCCCCAGCTGAACCGTTCATCCTGATTTTTCCCTCCTCTCATTATTGTACTAGAGAGGAAAGGTATTTTATCATCAACTAATATTGTGGAAGATTATAGTCCCTGCTTATTTAATTTTGCTATAGTACCTCCAATAAACTGTAAATCAGCATTTTCCTGAAATAATTTTCTAAGTTTAATTTTAAGAGAAGTTAATATTAGTGACAAAGTTTTTAATTTTGTAATGTTTTCTTTATGGTATTCATAAATTATATATTTTGGCAGAAAAATTTTATAAAATGTTCAAATTCCTATCATAATGTACAAAAGAATATGTGTGACTTTTTAATAGTTTTTGGTTTTTGAAGATTGCATAATTATGCTCCCCATTCCTGAATTTTTATGTGACATCACAAACCTATTTGCTTGGAGCAGAGAGTAATTTTTGTTGGCCAGTGTACAAAAACACACAACTAGGACTGGGATATAGCTCAACAGCGCAGCGCCTGCCTGGCAAGTGTGAGGTCCTGAGTTCACCTCCCGGCAGCACAAACAAAAACAAGCAACTAAAAACAGCCCAAAATGAATTGACAAAGCAAAAAAAGACAAAATAAATAACATACGATTAAAAGTTAAAAACAAGTGTTGAAATTTAACGTAGGAGAAAAATGAGTTTGTTATATAAGTTGTGATAACTTCTACTCAGAGGGTAATTTCATGTTAGTTGATCTCAGGTTTTGTGGGAACATAGGTGTAATGCTAGTCTTTTCTAAAAGCAACATTTTCAGATGAACTAATTAAATGACAAATTAAATCTAGTTCCAAAAAGTAATAAGCTGTAGAATTTAAACTTAATTGTACTAAGATCTTCTACTGTAGCAGGAAATAGTACTTGATTCTTTAAATTTGCCATGTTAAATGTATTACTTATCTATAACAAACACATACTCATGAATAAATGGGAAAAAACTCTACTTGCAAAATTAACTCATTTCCAACCTACAAATAATGACCGATTTTCATAGTATAAACTGCCACGCCAAGTATCATAGTGTAAGGGTGGATAAAGAGAATCGGAGATCATGGATTGTATCAAACTTTCCTATTAAGGAAAAGACTCACACGGCACAAGGAAAGTGAGAAGTCAGGAATTTCCAATGTGTCTCCCTGGGCTCTGTCCAGCTGTATCTCTTCATTCTGACCCAAATTAGCCTGTTCAATATATAACATTGCCCAAGGCATCATTACCCCAATGAAAGAGCAATTTCAACCATTCCACATCTCCATTTTATAGTCAGTTACGTGACTTGCATAGCATTTTCCAGGAGCCGTGCAGAGTCATGGCACAGATTTGTAGCTTCCAGGTTTGCTTTCTATCAGCAGTCATAGTCATGCAGATCTGTCCTAGTGTCTCCACTATAAAAGTTCCCCTGTCAGCAAATAGCAATTTTTTTAAACCAGGAGTCTATCATTGCATTATTTAGAAGATTTGATTGCATCAAATTCTTTCCATTGATTAGACACCATCTAAGAGTCCTCTCTAGCAAGGAAGAAATGGAAAACAAGAGCTTATTTTAGTAATTTACATCTCATAAAAAAATATGCTGTACGTACTTGAAATTATTCGTTTCACTTTCACATGCATAGGTAGAGCAGCCACGCTCACCTGAAATATTGTAGACTATCTCACCCCGCAGACACGCATGAGAGCATGGCAAAACCTTTGTCTTATTATACTCCTCTTGTTCATCAGATGAAAACCTGAGCTTTGTCTCCACAAAATAAGGATCATTTAAAATGAATCAGAGCAAAAAACTGATTAAAGTGATTCATAGAAACTACAGCTTCCTTGCTCCCCTCATATGTTTGGCTTGAAATTAATGCCAAGTAAATGGAAGAAAATAATTTCTTTTTACTTCATTTGTGTATAGTTGAATGAAATCAGCGAGGAGAGAGAGAGACAGAGAGAGAAAGAGAATAATACATTACTTTAGGATTCAATGTAACAATCACACAGTTTAGATTGAAATCTGACTTAGTCTTTATAGCAATGTTGTATAAAAGTTATTCTATCTCTAATTGTCTTAGTGTTTTCTACTTTAAAATCAGGATTAAATTATACCTGCCATATTATATTGCTGGAAGGATTAAATAATACATGTAAGAATGTTAAAAACAGCTGCTCTGAGAGAGTGGCACTTTATTTCACTTCAGTCTTCAGAGTCATAAACGTGCTATACCATTTCTTCAGCTTTTCTGTTTTAACAAACCAGTCTAGTTCATTTTACATATTTTTGTGCTTCCTAAATTTATTTTTACTGTAACTATAATGTTGAAGTATAGCTCCAATTAATAATGAGTTAATTCTAATATCATGTATTAAAGTTATATTAATGGTGAAAGTACTAATGAAATATTCCAAGCTCAGGAAAAAGTTAAATGAAAATAGACTAAAACTATGGTTTGTGAAGGTTTGTAATGCCTGTATAATGAACATAAGATAGTAATCCTTTTCCACCAGTAGCTGAAATGACGTGGAAATAGGAAACATAAAATTAATAACAAAATGCTTTACTCTAACAAGCGACATAGTTATTTTGGATGCCCACTGTATTTTGACTGAAAAAGAAAAACATTTAGTTAGCTGCATCTTTGCCTTCGAGATTCTGCTTCTGTTAACCTGTTTGGGACCAGAATGCACGGACAATGTTTTTGTATATTGAAGGAGTGCTGCCCACAGTAGATTATAACTGTACGGCTTGTGTCTAGGTGTCTCCCCCAAAGCCTCAGGCAGTCAGAGGCGGCTGAATCGGAGTGTGTGACGCTGGGATGGAGGGTGCATGGTTACCTAACTAGTCCCCTGATTAGTTTGGCACAGTTCTGGGTGTGGATAGCGGGAAGGCTGCCCCTGGGCATGAGTGCTGCAAACCTTGGGGTAAAGTACAAAGATATAAGGATAAAACCTAAGGACAGAAAGAAGGCTGCTGCCATTGCGTGCTGCTTACTGCTTCTTCACTGCCTGGCTACACTGCTGCCTTCTGCACACGTGAGCTGTTTCTCCTCGGCGATGCTCTCTGTCCCAGCCCCTGTCAGCTGAGTGTGAGGTGAAACCTTTACGACCTGTGAGCTACAATAATCCTTTCCCCCTTTAACCTTGGATATCGGGTACTTTGTCTCAGCAACGAGAAAGGTAACAAAGACAATCAGTTCACTGGTGTCGTTCCAAGTTACTCTCCTTGTGTTTCTGGGAAGCTCATAGAGCTGGTACAAAATGAGTGGAGTTCAAGGAGTAAGGCATATTGGTTATAGGTAAATTCTCTTTATTATGAGCTATGGTTTGAATGTCCTCTTTCAATTCACATTCAGCTCTAATTGTCATTATCAGTATGCAAAGGTGTGGCACCTTTAAGAGGTGAATAGATCAGGAGGGAAGAGCCCACATGAATGGATTAGTGCCCTATTGGTATAAGGATTAGTTATTTCAAGAGTTGGCTCCCGATAAAAGCATGTAGTCCCCGTACTCTCTCTCCTGTGTGCTTTCTTGCCGTGTCATTCCCTTAGTGAGAGCATGACACAGCAAGAAGCACTCATCCGATGCCTTCAGAACTGTGAACCAAATAGATATCTGTGCTTCACAAATTGTCCAGTCTGTGGTATTGTGTTACAGCAGTGGAAAGTGGGCTGAGATATACAGTCATAATGTTGTATAGCACATAATACAGTGGTATACATGGCAGACAATGTATGATTATGTCTTGAGTCCATGGGCTGGCAGATTTGTACTGTTACAATTTGATGATCTCATTGATGAATATAGTATGAAGCTATCCTAGCAATTTCTAAAATTAAAAACCAAAGTCATGCCATTTTCTTCTTTTATACCTTGAAAAACATGATCTAAGAAGAGTTGTGCTGCTACTCTGTTTTGGAGGATGCAGGGTTATTTGTTAATATCTATATTTTATTTGTTCAGTCACTATGTTAACTGAGAAAAGTGTTCAAAATCAGTTCCAACAGAGCACCAACAACTAAAAATGGATTATCCATAACTGAACTCCTTGAATTGCCCTCCTGATAGAACATTTGAAAACACACATGTAACTTAAGCTTTATTTTAGTGCTAAAAGAAATAGTAAATATAATATATAACAAGTGGACTATATTTTATCCACCTCTACTAAGATTAGAGTTTTCAGCTTTGATTGAGTTCAGATTTTTGCTTTGCTGTTCTGCAGCGCATAGCTGATGAAGAAGTCTCAGGCTAGTTGTAAAACGGATAATGTACAGACATTATGACATCATATTCAGAAAGTTCCATTTCTGTATTACATCCACGTAATGTAGCTCTGTAAAAAAAAAAAAAGATAGCATTTTAAAAATGCCTGAATCTATCATTTGACAGTCAGTACATTGTGCTTTTAAGGTTGACTATTATATATTAGTGTTTATTATGGAAATAAGTTAATGGCTTGATCAATGACATAATTCCTCTAATACATTGATTTTACTTTTCATTTTCTGGAGGAAGAGTACTCAGTGATATATTTATTAGTTATGTAATCCTGCATAACAAATTAAAAGTCACTTAGTCCCTTAAAACAGGATGCATTTATTATTTCCCAGTTTCTGTAGATCAGAAGTCTAGGAAATGATTAGCTTAATTGAGTCTCTGCTTAGGGCCCTTAAGATTGAAATCATGATCTCCACAAACCCTTGTCCTTACCTGGAAGCTTCAGTTGGAAAGACTGTGATCTTGAAGTTACTCATGTTACTGCCAAGATTTATTTTCCTACATCTGAATAATTGAGGTCTTGGTGTTCTTGCTGTTGTAAGTTAGGAATTACTTTCAACAACTAGAAATAAAGCGGGTGTGATGGTGCACTCCTGTGATTCCAGCTCTTAAGAGGTTAAGGCTGGAGTATCACAAGTTTGAGTTCAGCCTGGGCTACATAGTCAGTTCAAGGCCAGCCTGAAGGGTACTGCTAGCACCAAACTCAAAGAAGCAATACAAAATAAAACACAGCTGGAAATCATGCTCCGTTCCCTGGCATATGATCTCTTTCCTAAATTGTCCCATACTATGGAACCTAAATGTTTCAAAGCTATCAGGATAGTATCCCTTTTAATAATTGAAAATCTATTTACTTTTTTTTTGAAAATCTACTTATTATGGGTTTAAATATATCTTTTTTTTTTTTTGTCTTTTTGAGACAGAATATCGCTATGCAGCTCAGGTTGGCCTTCAGCTCACTTTGTAGCCCAGGCTGGTCTGGAACTCCTAACAATCCTCCTGCCTTAGCCTCCCCTGTACTGGGGTTACAGGCCTGTGCCACCATGCCCTGCTTAAATATATTTTAAAAATCCCTCACACTTACAGTGTAACATAATTATAAGAATGATACTCTACCATCTTTTCCACACACTGTTAGAGGTGGGCCTCAGGCTCTACCTAATCTCAAGGGAAGGTTTTACTAAAGAGCAAATATTGCAGAGGGAAGTGGAAAATATCTTAAAATGTTATTACCAATATTAGTATGTATTGTGACGATATCGTTTCTACATTCTAAAGTCAGCATTTCAGATTTGGATGTTATTAATTGGTTGTTTACCCTTAAGAATCACTTTTCCTTCTCAATATCGTTAACTGTTTGACAGAATTATACATCGCAAATGACTGCTGTCTTTCAGTATGGCCTAAAATTGTGACTTGGGGTTTTCTTACTCAACTGTCAGAAGTTTAGTTAATAATGAACAGGTTAGAGTAAGTTATCCCTAAAACCTATCATATATCTAAATTTAAAAGTCAAGTACAATTTTCATACAAACAAGAAAGTGTGTTTATATTCCCGCCAATATTTTAAACTGATGTTATTTTTTCTGTTTCAGTTTAGCATATCAATACCTGTAGACTAGTATCCTATCTGACATTTTCTATAAATTTTGTGTATTGTGTATTTGTTAATTTTTATATGACTAAATATGTATAAAATACTATAACAAGTAATAAATATGAAATATAAGTGATAATCTAGAAACAGTTCTGATACATAAAGTTTAATGAATAGAGAAAAGAATTTAATAAATCAGTAGAGACAAAATATAACTTTTCAATAGGAGATGATTGGAGAATTAGTCATTTGGAAAATAAAGTAATAATCGAGATAAATTTTCAACTTCATGGAACAAAATTTATTTTTTTAAGAAATGAGCAGAATATTTAAACTTGAGGACTAAAGTCAAATGTAGGAATATGTAAAATAATTTATCTGGAGTCTTCCTAAGCATAGTCAATGATGTACATATGTAAAGAAAAGAGACATAGATTTAACCAAATAAAACTTTTATTTTTTGAGTAAAAAAAAGTATATATTTATAAAATAAAAATAACAATAAAAAGATTAAATTAATCTTTAATGTCTAAATTTCTTGTAATTTAACAAGGAAAGCTCTAATAATACCAGTAAAGAGAGGTGAAGATCACAGATTTTATCTTTTTATTAATTCATATTGTTTTCCCCAAATCTCCAATAATATTTTCACACAAGTCATATAAATTACTATTTCTTTCAATTATTATGTTTTATTTTGTTGATTAATTTGTCAGCTAAAAATATAATAAATAAGCTTGATGGAAAGAATTGAATGGAGGTTCTTTAATATGCCTTTTAATTTCTACTTCTTTCAAATAAGTCATTCCAAAATATTTCCATAATCATTATGACAGATCACAAAACTTTCACGTGGGTGTGGTGGTGCACACCTCTAATCTCAGCCCTCAGGAGGCTGAGTAGGAGAATCACTGAGGGTTCAAAACCAGCCTAAACTACATAGCAAGATGCTGTCTCAAAAAGACAAAAAAATAAAAGTAAAAGGAACAAAACTTACCATTATGTTGAAGTTTTTATATTTGTTAGCACAATAGTGTTTGATGAATTCCCTTTTATTTATTTATTTATTTTTGTTTTTTTTCCTGTACCGAGAATTGAACTCACGACCTTGCGATTGCCAGGCAGGTGTTGTGCCCCTGAGCTAAATCCCCAGCCCCTGAATTTCTTTTTAATATATTGAATGTATCCTACGACTCATGTGCTCCCTCACTTGTAATTTCATTTTTGTTTGGCTTGTTTTCTTTTGCTCTGCACTTGTAAAAGTTATTGGTGTATATATTTTGTCATATCTTCTTCAACAACTCAGATATTGTGTTTATCAAATCAGTTGTCTCTTTTGATTCACTTATATCCTCTTTTCCTTTTTTATTTATTTTATTATTTTGCTAATATTTGAATTGACTATTACGTTTACTTTTACTTTCCAAAGGGTAAATATAACATGGAAACAAACTATATTTTACTTTTCTTATGCTGTGCCCCATAATATTTCTCACCAGTATTCTGCAAGGATAGCTTTGATTTCTTATTTCATTAGTTTTTAGAGGTCAGACGTTTTTCACTTATCCTAAATTTGATTTTTATTGAATTGGAATCAGAGAACAAGGTTGGCACAGTTTCTATCTTTGGGAATTAACTGAAGTGTTTTGTAACAATAAATACTGATTTTTGCCTCTATTTTATTGTTTTTGAAATGTTGACATTAATTTTTATTGTCAGAATATGATATAATATTACTTAACTGTATTTTTTTTATAGTAACTGAGAGTCCCTTGTATTTTATTCTTAACTTGTCAAAATTTTTCATTCCCCAAATTGAGAGATTTTGATTGAGTTTTCTTGGAATTTTCTCAAATTAATTTTTCCTATGTGAAATGATATTTTAATTTATTTCAAATTATACTTTATCAGTGGAATAGAAGTTTCAGTGACTGTCTCATTTTGATTGCAACTTTTACTATGTTATCTTTTCTAATGGACAGGCAGTTTCTAAAATAAGCCGCCTTCCTTTTCTATCAGATTTTGAACCCTATTAAGCCAATATGTTGTTCAAACCTGAGTACTCATATACATATGTATATGTATAACGAACCCTGAAGAATCTATGTATGAAACAAAGTGTACTGAGAGAAGGCAGTCAGAGATTTTTAGTGTAACAAGGCCAACACATTACATTTATATTATTTAAGGGTTAAAAACCAGATCTCAGTGTCACAGAATTAGTCCATGAATATTTAGTTGAAAAATGACTAATGTTGTTCATCATGACAGAGATTGTGCTTTCATTTCAGTTCCGTATGTGAATGGTGTATTTGGTCAAAATGATCATGTAACAACTTTAATTTATATGTTCTTGAGTAGCATATCACCAAAGTGATATTTTCTTTTCACAAAACAGCATTCAATCACTGTCCTTGAGAAGGAGAAGGTTGCCATGGGACGCTGCCAGATCTGTTCGCACACATATTTCTTCCTCTTCTCAGGCAGGAACTGCAGTGTCCAGCCTCCCTTGCAGCACAGTTTTGGTTATTATGAAGTCTTCAGGATATTAGCAAACAGAGTAAATGCTTTGCTCAGGCTGCATGCAGCTTAAAGCAAGCTTCTTTCTCTAGAATTTGGCTTCTTTTCTCTTTTCTTTTTTTTCTCTTCTTGTCTTTTTTTTTTTTTTGGTCCTTGTGTGTGTGGTACTGGGGATTGAGTGGGCTCAGGAATTTCACACAGAACTATATCCCTAGCCCACTTTTGATTATTTTCATTTTGATGCTGGGTCTCCCTGAGCAGCTCAGGCTGGGCTGAAGCTTGCAATCCTCCTGCCTTAGAAATGCTGAGATGAAGATCTGACCTGCTTTCCTCTTCCCTCCTGCTGGGACAGGCCAGACCTCTCTCTGAGATAGTCACTATCTGAACTTTGAGACTGCCATCTCTTGGTTTTATATTTTTCCATCCATGCAAAAATATAACCACCAACACTTGTTCTGACCAGGTTTTTGTGTGAGTACAAGATGCAACCGCACTAAAGTTTTCACTTAAATTTCTCTGCCAGTGAGATTGAACATCTTTTCATGTACTGAATCACCATTCTTGTCTTCACGTGAAGAAATATTATTCATTTGTCCTGTGTGATATGCCTTGAACTTGTGTGTTTTTAAATATTTTAATCTATGCTGTAATATGTGTTTCAGTTATATGTATTCTAATGGTGTTTTCTGAGTTTGGGCTCATCTTTCATCTTCTTTAAGTTATTGTTGGATAACAAAAAGTTCTTGGTTTTATTAAAATTGTACATATCTAGCTTTTCCTTTATTGTTTGTATTCTTGTAACATTTTGGAATTAAAGACATTGTCTTATTCCAGAGCACTCCAATTTATTCTTAAAATTTTTATAGTTTGAATTTTATGTCCTAAATCCATGTAACACTGGTACCCTCCATGACGGAGGACAAATTCAGTCACCGCCCGCCCTTGCCCTGTGCTCCTCATGGGAAGATTGTTGTTCCTTGATTTGCTGAAATCTGGTTATTCCGCAAGAACAATTTAATTACTTTGACCAATAAAATATGAGCGGAAATGACATGTATTCCTTCTGTGTGAAGTTCTAGGAGCATCTCATGTTTCCCTGTGCTGTCTCCCTCTCTTACACCCTCTTTAATCCAGAATTCAGGTGATATAAAGTGGAGCCTCAGCCATCCCAAGGGGGATATGCAGGATAAAAACGACACCTTTAAGTTCACTTTTCTCTTTTATTGCTTTTACTATCAATCACAGGGTGTATATAAAGAATGATATTTTCAAAACAATCTGCAGTCTAGTATACAGACCACTGATTTTTATTAGGATTACTTATATGTCTGCGTTGAAGCAGTTACTATTTTGACAGTTTTCTGTTTCCTTACTACTAAGGCAGTTGGTCTTAGTATTCTACCAGAGACCTATAACTTTGAGGTTTTGCGCTTTGGACTTTGGAGAAGAATTTCTGGCCCTGAATTAGGTGAACCTTGAGCACTGTCTTCTCATCTTTCCAGGGGACCCTTCGCTAGCCTCCAGCAGCTTCCTCCCCTGCCTGCCCCTTTAAGACTCACAAGTCACAGTGGGCCTTCTGGGAAGCTCCTGGGCAGTCTCTGTGTGCATCTCTTTGCACCCCAGCACCCTTCCCTGCCACCCTGCCATACGTGCTCTCTCAGAACCCTGGCCCTGCCCCTTACCCTCAGCGTGAGCACCGGGCTCGGCCTGGATTTCTCTTCCTTGCTTTTCAGATTAGAATCTTTATTAGAAAATAATATGCTACAGTACCATTATCCCAGATATCCTTCTATATACATATATATTTTTTGTCTTCCCTCTTTCTTTCTTTTCTCCTTTCCCTCATCACAGTTGTTCTTTCCTTTTGAGTAATTTCTTCTCCTTTCATAATGTCTATTGTACCTTTTGGGTTTTATTTACTCTTTCAAGCTCTTATAGACACAATATGATGTTTATACATGCAGGTCTGATTTATTTCACGTATGAGTGTGGTCTCTAGTGGCATCCATTTACCTATAAAAGCCTTGAGTTTATCCTTTTTATAGCTGAGTAATACTCCGTTGTATAAAAATACATCTTTTTTATTCATTCTTCCATTGCTATAATCTGAACAACTAATTTGAAGCAACAATATGCAATATAAGAACCATTGTTGAATTTCTACCATCTCGCCTAGTGAAGCTCTGTATTATTTCTAACGTTTTTATTACTTTTTATTCTTTTTAATTGCTTGATCAATCTTGCATTATAATTTTTAATGTTTTTGTATTGTTTTGCCTTTGCCTTTGTTGTTGCTATTCTGTTATTTTTTTCCCTTTAAAATAAAAAGAAAGAGCTGGGCATGGTGACACACGCCTGTAATCCCAGCACTTGGGAAGTTGAGGCAGGAGGATCCTTGTGAGTTCAAGACCAGCCTGGGATACACACTGAGCTCAAGGCCAGTATGAACTGCCTTGCCTCCCTGTCTCAAAAAGACAAAAAACAAAACAAAACAAAATAAAAAGAAATAACAATGCAACCTTTTGATCCACCAAATTTGTTTTCTGTAACTTGGATTATGACTATTTGTTATCCAGTGACTTGAGGACCACTTTAAAATTGGATTTTGTAAATCTCTTCCCATAGAAAAACTGTAGCCTTAGATTTAGGTTAACACAGTGCTTTAAACACTTCTAAAATAAGGTATAAAAATTTTAAATTTGGTCTTTCATGTTTTGTATTGAAATACATGGTTTAGAAATATTTGACTCCCAAATCTGATTAAAGCTCTTTAACATTTGAATTCACAATCTTAATTTTTGCATTTCAACTTGAAGTTATTAGATTCTAGAAACTAATAAGATTCATCAAATTCAAGAAGTGTTTAAAATGAAATGTTAGTTTGCAATGTAGACATATATAACAATATAAATATAAGAAAGCATTTTCATGGGGAATTCTGTGTTATTGATGTAATGTAAATTAATTGATGTAGTTCACTCAGAACTCCTGTGTAGATGTCTATTACACTGGTTTTATTATTCTTCAATATTGCGTACTATGTGATTGATTAGAACAGGCTGTGCTTTATAAATTGTCTCATCTGAAGTAGTATAATTTCAAGATTTTATCTGGGAGATGTTTCAAGAATCTAACACATTGAAAAAATGTTTTATGTTTTGCAATTCCTTCCTGAAAGTTCGTTGTGCACATTAACTTTTTAAATATAAGGGAAATTACTCTAGGAGTAAACAAAATAAAAACAGATTATTATTTTTCAAATATACGTGAGTGTGTCTCATTAATATCCCACCAGGATACATTACCTTTGCTATAGATTATAACTGATTTTCTTTATGGATCACTTTATATTACAGTTTTCAGATGTTTTTGAATCTTTCAGAACCCTAATGCTCTATGTCCACACAATTATAAAGTGCTTATTTTACAATTCAGATGTGATCTTTTCAGTCTCATTAGAAATGCCAACAAATGTCAACCATTTTGAACAGACTGATGTCTAAAATTATTACCATGACATAACAAATCCTTAAAAACCTCTTCAGAAGCTCTAGCCTCTTCAGATCTTACTGTACCCCACGCATTCAGAATAATAGTTAGCTTTCTTCTTCCTCTGCTCTTTTCCCTTTCTGGGTAGTCAAATACATTGCTGTGACAGTAAGACCTACCTCTCTTTTCTCCTCTTCGTGTCTTTCCATGTTTTCCTACTTCAGTGTTTGAGCTGCCGAAGTGAGCCCTAGGTGTTCCCTGCGTTCCCCAGAATGATGTCATAGTAACACACACTGAGCCAGAACTTCCTAAGTTACCTTTGTTCAGAGGGTAAGTGAGACTGTTTGAAGTGAATTATCTTCCCAAGGCAACTCAGTGTCAGTCACACAGTCGCCCTGATGTTTAGTTTGTAGTGAGAGCAAGGTTTACGATTTTTACCTGCTTTCTCTTCCAGTAGATTTAGTGTTTCTGTTTTAATATTGAGGTCTGTGATCTGTTTTTACTTGAGTTTGGTGCCTGGTGATAGACGTGTGTCTATTCTCGGTCTTCAGCGTGTGCCAAGCCAATTTTTCCAGCACCATTTATTAAAGAGGCTATCTTTCTTCCAGTGAGCTTGTTTGGCCCCTTTGTCAAAGATCAGGTGTTTGAGTGTGTTTGTGGCTGTGGCTGCTTCTTCCAGTCTGTTCCATTGATCCTCAGGTGTCTTTTTCAGCCAGTACCATGTTTATTTTATCACAGTAGCTTTGTAATATAATTTCAGGTCAGGGATTGTGATGTCTCCTGACTTGTTGTTGTTGCCCAGGATTGCTTTTGCCATTCTGGGCCTCTTCTGGTTCCAGATGAGTTTTAGGAATATTTCTCCAGATCTGTGAGATATGCTGATGATATTTTAATTGAAATTACATTGAATTTGTACAACAATTTTGGTAGTATGGTCATTTTCACAATGTTGGTTGTGAGCAAGGAATGTCTTTCCATTTTCTGAAATCCTCTTAGATCTCTTTTTTCAGAGTACTGTACTTTTCACTCTATAGATCTTTTAATTCTTTTGTTAGACCATTCCTAAATATTTCAGTTTTTTGGATGCTATTGTGAAAGGCATGATTTCCTTAATTTGTCTCAGTGTGTTGGTTGTTTGTATATAGGAATACTATTGATTTTGAGTGTTGATTTTGTATCCAGCTACACTACTGAATTTGTTTATTAATTCTAGGAGTCTTATGGTGCAGTTTTTGGGGTCTTCCATGTAGAGTATCATGTCATCTGCAAGTAATGATAATTTCACTTCTTCCTTTCCTATCTTTTTCCTTTTATTTCTCCCTTTTGTCTAATTGCTCTGGCTAATGCTTGCAGAACTGTGTTGAACAGGACTTGTGACAATGGACATCTTTGTTTTGTTCCTGATTTTAAAGGCAGAGAGTTCATGAACTAAAACCAAACTGCATGGGAAATACTTCCAAGAATCAATAACTGGGATCTCATCTTACTGAAAAGATTTTGATATCTAAGCAATCACCAGCAGAGTAAAAAGAAAACCCACAAATTGGGAAAAAATGTTAGACAACTGTCCCTTGGACAAAGGACTTCTATCTAGAACACATGAAGAGCTAAAATACATCAGCCCTCCCCCATTCAAAGACCTACATCAAAAATGGGCATCTGAGATGAATACACACTTCACAGATAAAGAAATACAAATGCCAAATAAATTTATGAGAATGTTCAACATCATCAGTCATTTGAGAAATGCAAATTAAAACAACACTGAGATTTCATCTTACCCCAGTAAGAATGGCTAGCTTTAAGAAATCAATCAATAACAAATGCTGGCGAGGTTGTGGAGAAATAGGAACCCTTCTCCACTGCTGGTGGGAATGCAGACTGGTGAAACCACTGTGGAAATCAGTTTGGAAATTCCTCAGTAAACTAGGTCTAGAGGTCTCATTCAACCCAGCTATTTCCCTTCTGGGTATTTTCCCAGAAGAACTGAAAACACCATATCAAAGTAATATATGTGCACCCATGTTTATAGCAGTACAATTTGTAATAGCTAAATTGTGGAAGCAACACAAATGTCCATCTACTGAGGAATGGATAAAAAAGTTGTGGTAGTTTTATGTAATGGAATATTACTCAGCTATAAAGAAAGGTAAACTTGAGGCTTTTATAGGTAAATGGACACAACTAGAGACCATATTCATAAGTGAAATAAACCAAACCTCCATATGTAAGCAACATATTGTCTCACTAGTGTAAGAATCTGAAAGAATGAATAAAAATTAGGAGGGATGATAGATATTGTGAAAGTTAAGGAAACTGCTCAAAACTAAAGAAGAGCTAGGATGAGGGAAAAGCAAAAAGAAAAATGTGGAAATTATATATATATGTATATACAGGATAGCTAACATAGTTGTACTACTGACTGAGATCACTTCATTGAAAGGAACAGTTAATGCTTAGTTATTTGATCAATCTTACATGTCTCTGTTTGTTTACCTGAGTAACCAATTTGTTTTTTGGATTTTTTGGGGGGGGGTTTGGTACCAGGAATTGAACTCATGACCTCAGGCTTGCCAGGCAAGCTCTGACGCCACTGAGCTACATCCCCAGCCCTCTGAGTAACAAATCTGAAGAGATCAATATGTAGTACAACAACCACTGCTAATTTCCTATCACCTTGTCTGAAATTCTGTACTTCTTGTGTTGTTTTTGTGTTATTTTGTAAACATATGCATGATTGTTAATATGTTTTTATTCTTTTATCTTTAAAGTTAAAAAAAAATAAAAAAAGAGCAATGTTTACTATGCATACAGGTGTGGCCTAAAATTCCATTACTATTTCCTTATATGTTGCAGGTATATATAACAAACACAAATAGTATAAAACATTTTCATGGAGAATTCCATATTATTAATGTAACGTAAATTAATTCTTGATGTAGTTCACTCAGATCTTCTGTGTAGATCTCTGTTATACTGGTTTTATCATTCTTCAATATTACCTACTACGTGATTGACCAAAACAGGCCCCATTTTAAAAATTTTCTATGTATGGAATTACTGATAAGTATAAAGCTATCAATACTACTAATGTTAATATATCTATGCTTACGTTTTTGCTAATGAAACAATATGTACAGCATATTTAAATTCATGCAAAACAACGAATTTATTCACATAAATTATGTAATTTTATTATGTAATTGTAAAGAAAATTATTTCTTTTGGTACATTGTTTCTGCATGTTATACTTGACATATTTTACTGAAAATGGAACTGTCTTAAGAAATATAAAGTTAATTCTTTGAGAAATAAAATTAATTTAGTGTTCTTCAGCAAGCTCTATTATTTCAAAAATTTCGCACCAGCTTTCTTGCTACAAATTCATCTTGGTATGGTCCGTGCTTGGGAGAATGTCTGGCACGTAGTAGGCAGTAGAAGTTATTCACTGAAGTTATGCACACATGTATAATGGACGATCCAAATGAAAAAAAAAAAAAAAAACATAGTCCCTCAAGGTGGTCATTCCTGTGGAGCTGTCTTCTGCACGTACTTTGTGTCTGAGTTTTCACAGTGATATCAGCAAAATAGCTTCCCATCAAGTGTCCGCTGGGTTAGTTCTTCATCATTATACTTCCCACATTGTAATTATCACATTCGCATAATTACGACCTCTTTATTATGGGAAGAATTTATAAACTGACAGTTCAATCCTTATGGTAACCATAAATACCATTTTTTTCTAATTCTGATGTCCTTGAATAAATATTTTTTTTAATTTTACAAACAACTGATAAATAATTGGGTATTGTTTTTCTAAATTTTATGTGGGTTTTGAATATGTCAAGGTGCTAATTACTTCGCCAATGTTACGTCTTTTAATCCGTGGGACACACACTGAGAGAAGCAGCTCTCCTTTCAGGGCTGCGGACAGAGAAGTGCGGAGCTGTTGGGTAACACAGGCTGAGGCTAGGGAGGGCAGACTGAGGACTCGGGCCATTACACCCTTCTCCGGAAGCTCCCCGCTCTTCTGAGGCCCTGACACTCTTGTCCAGTTTCCCGCCTGAGGGGTGATACTTCATAACTCCACCCAGAGTAATCTTGGACTCTATAGTTTCTCAGTGAGCACAGGTGCCCATGCAGTGTATTAGTACAGGATGATTAATCTAAGTTAAAGTCTATTATAATAACAAATACCAGAGATACAAGTTCATTGTCCATAATAGTAACAATTCCAGACGAGATCGAGTGTGTTCAGGGTGATATGACAATAGACATAGTAAGAATCCCATACTAGAAAGCCTGTACGAAAATAGCTTTAGATATTCTTTTCATCTCCAGATAAGCATACAACATTTACATAGCTGACAGAGGGAAAAGGGAATGAATTTATCATGAAACCCAGGTAAATCATGTAAGATATTCAAGTTTAAATATTTCAAAATATATTTTAAAATATAAATAATTCTCATGCATTTAAAATGTAAGGGTATAGATGTCATGTTACGTTTGGTTTACACACATAATAAGAGGATATAAACATAATAACCTAAAGTTATACACATATAAAATTTTATTTTTCCATATACATATTTATTGTGTGGGAAAATAATAGAAAGTTTCAATAGTTCTCAAGTTATTTTAAAACTAAAATATTTATCATTGCATATTTTATATGATCGACAATATTTATAAGGTTCAGCTTCCATACTTTCTCTCCAACATCTGCACCAATCGTTGATATCATTTGAAGACAACACAATAGATCTAAGCTGCTTCACTCTCCTCCGTACCTACTTCATCTGACAAAATTAACACACAAATTTACTCCATCAGAGCCTAAATTTTATTCATTTCATTTGTGTGCTCAAAATAATCTCTTTCACTATAACCTTAACTTTCTTCTTTATCCGACTACGAGTAGCATTTTTCCACGAGTACGTGGAGTCGTTTCTCTCTGTTTCATCTGTCTCTGTGCATGCATTTCAAATTCCATTATTACAAATTAAAATATTTTTCTTGAGAATTTTATGCTGTGCTTAAATTTCACCTTCTTACTCATCATGCACCCCACGGAGGTGGGATACTGACATTTAGCCGCAATGACACCTTCATGTATATTATTCATAAATTTTGTTCTTTCAATGTATAAATATTTTTGTTGTAATAAAAACATGTGATTTTTTTTAGATTTGTAGAGTTGCTCTAGATTTGTACACATTGCATGCACTTGTTCAGGAGAGAAGATATATCCTTTCAGATTACGTAC